GCCCACATCTTCCACGTGTCGGACTTCGACGCCATTGACAAGATCCGGGGCACGCTGCGGCGCCGCCTGTGCGAAAGTGAGTGGGGACCCGCGGCCTGGGGAGGCCGAGGGGTGGGGAGGCCCCAGTCCGCGTGGCGCGGCCGTAACTGAGGAACCCAGTAGCACCCACACCCGGTCCGGGCCCATCACCCAGGGACCTGCCCCGTGGGCCACACTTTCAGGGAGACAGGGGTGGAAAGAAAAATTAAAGCAGGCTGGCTTCTAAACCCCAGCCACTCTGAGATACGTGAATGCCTCACTTCTGCAACGGGGAACATCCCCTGGCCTCCTGGGACTGAGTCAGAGCACGTGCCTGCAGAGGCCTCACCAAAGCCCCTCGGTGAGAGCTGTTGGGTCCTGCTCCTCTCAGCCCCACTGAGGGATGGCAGTGAGAGATCACGAAAGAACAGGGCCCAAATAGGCTGCAGGAACTGTACCGGGTGAGCCCAAGTCAGCCAGTTCAGGTGGTGGGCGCTGCTGGTCCCAGAGGCCAAGTGCTGTTGACCTGTTGCCCTCTGAGATCACCCGAGGTCTCCACGTTATTTGTCTGGAATGCTGACTGTGGCTGGGATTAGGTGATGGGAGAGGAAGGAGTGTGTGTTGGGCAGGCAAAGGTCCCATGGCCCCGGGGCTCTGACTTGGGAGGCTGACCTGCAAGACCCTGGTGGGGTCTTTCTGACACCAATCTCCTCTCCAGGGCAGGGAGGGTGAAGTGGGTTTCTCCTGACCTAGCCTGTCTCCTCTGCCTGCTTTCCTGGGGTGCCATTTCTTCCTGGCTCGGTAACTTCCTCCTCCGAAGCCAGCAGGTGGGGGCAGGGAGTAGGGTCAGCCTCTGTCTTGCTGACTTCTGTGGGGGATGAACTGCCCCTGGTAGGGGAGCCCAGAATGTCACACCTGGGCAGGGCAGTGGAGGAGGGGCCTGGCAGTGGGAGCAGAAGGGCAGAGCGGCAGGGGTCTGGTCCCAGGGGTGGGCCTGGCCCACAGCCTGGTAAAACTTGTCTGAGGCTCGATGTCCTTAGTTTCGTTACCATGCTGTGACTTTTTCTCTGTATTGGCTCACTTAATCTGTATTTATTTATTCACAGACGTTTACTGGGATCTGTTGTTTGTGTGGCCTTGTGCTGACTTCTGGGCTATAGAAAAAGATAAGACACAGACCCTGCCCTCAGGTCTTCCTTAGTCTAGATGGTGGAAAAGACTCAAAAAAAGGAATGTGATATTGTAGGGGTGAGTTTAATCAAGGTGCCACAGAGTCTTATGGGTGGGGTCCTGCTGTGGTTGTGGTGGATGATGACCCTGCGAATGGGGGTGGGGGGCTTCCTGGAGGAGGTGGCACTTAGCTGGTTTAGAAGGACGAGGTTGGCAACACGTAGTCAATGTACTATAATGGCCGGAGGACAGGAGGGGAGTTGGGGTTGGTTGCTTTGTGTGATTGTCAAGGACTGGATAAAGGAGAGCCTTGTGTGCAAGGCTTTGGAGGGTTCTGGGCAGGGACGTGACATGGTCAGGTCTTTGTGGAGAATGGAATGCTGGCAGGACAGCAAGCAAAAAGGAGCCCCTTCACAGACTGCTGGGAAATTCAGAGAATGGTGCAGGGAATAGATGGTGCGTTGTTGCCCAAGGATGAAGGAATTGACGCCCTGAGGGCAAAGAGATGGTTACCTACCCTACAGTGTGCCACCCATTGGCCATGGATTTCCCACAGTGACTTCATTTGATCCTTGTGACAACTTTGTAAGATAAAGATGAACCTCCTTTTCACAGATGAGGGCATTCAGAATGCTGAGACCTTGGGAGGCACAGCTGCAAGGTCTGCTGGGCCCTCAGCAGTAGGCCGGAGAGGCGATGGGGCCACGCTGGGGAAGAGGAGGCAGGGAGAAGGAACAGCCCAGGCCGAGCCAGGCTGAGAACGGACCGAGGTTCATGTGGCCAGAAGTCTGGGCTACGAGAGTCAGCCACTAGGCCACAGGCCCAGCCAAGAGGCAGACATCCAACTTGGTGGCACAGGGGCCACCCCGGGCCCTGGTAAGCGAGGCTGCTTCTGGACCCTACCCTCTGGCATTTCACCATGCTGCCAGCCTGGGTTCAGACTGATTCTAGATCTTGGCAGAGCAGAATTTAGATTTTGAAGAGCTTCCATTGGAATGGCAGGGCCAGCCCGGGCAAGGTCAGGTCACTGGGTCACATTGCCCTGTTAACAAAACGGCAGAGCTGGGGGCAGAATCCCGGCCTTCAGCCTCCGCACTCTGGCCTCATGCCCCAGGGCCCCCAGAACAGGATTTCACCACCACTGATGTTGGGTCTGAGCCAGGGACAATGCTTTGGATCAAAGTGACAGAAAACCCCACTCTAACTTGCTTAGAGAATAAAGCACATTGACATCACACAGGATAGAAAGGCCAGAGGTCAGGCAGACTTAAGCGCTGAGACCAAACTCACTCTCTCCTGCCGTTTCTAGGCTCTTTTTTCTAGGTATTAATTCTCTTCTGGGCAGATTTGTGTGTCAGGGTCCCAGCCGTGAGGCGACTTGGAGGAAGGTTCTATCTAGAGGAGGCTGAGGTCAGGGAGTGATGCTGGAAGCACTGGGCACCAGCAGCAGGAGAAGCTGGCTGACAGCAGGGATAGAAGTGCTGCTCTGTGGGTGGGGAGGGGCTGCCCGGCAGCGCTGTTATCTCCTCAGCCCAGGGGGGAACACAGCTCTCGGCTGCCAGCTCAGCCACGGCCCCAAGGGAGCAGGAAAGGAGCCCCTGTCTCGGTCCCCTCCGGCTTTGCTGGCCCCTTCCATTGGCCTGACCTCACCTGACAACAGTCAACAAAGGGACCGGTGATGTGGTCACAAGGGCCAGGATCTGAGGCTCAGAGCAGAGCAGAGAAGGAGGCAAGGGATGAGGGAGGGCAGAGGAGCTCCCAGCACAAGACAGTCAAGTGACTCTAGAGCTACGTGGGTCTTCAGCCCCAGCGGAGGAGAGGGTCACCCAGCGGGCCTGGATTCAGTCTGACTGGACGGTGTGGGCCCTGCGGCTGTTCCCAGCCAGTCGCTGTGGCCCTGGAATGGAAGCAGCTGCCTTGCCGGGGCCTCAGCCACAGTCTCCTGTTTGACAGTTGGGAGTGGAGTTAGTCACCAGCTGTACTCCCTCAGGGAAAGGGGTGCGACCTCTGCAGGGACATCACGGTGGTGGGGGGGTGTTACCAAGGGGAAAGGAGTACAGGCCAGCCCAGCACACCACATGTCCACCTTGACACCACTGGGAGAAACTCAGCGATTCTCTCTAGACAGGCTTCTCCAAGTGCCTGAATAGATGCAAGATTTAAGTTATTCTTAGCCATCTAAAGGGAATTCTGTCTGTAAATACAGCTGTAGGCTGAGAGGGTCTGCTCTATTCTGGTGACAAACGAAACAAAATCTCCCCACAATTGCTTCAATTAGAAACAAAGCAAAACAAATAAAAGAGCAAACAGTGATGCAGTGGAAAGCGTGTAGGAGAGTGAACCAAGGCGCGTGACGGCATCCAAACAGCTGGGCCCCTCGGCCCCGGGGGCGGGTACCTGCGGGTGGTTCCACAGCCCGAATCCCGGCTGTCTGAACAGGGGTGGCACGCTGATGGTCTGGGAAATCGCAGACTAACGACACGGGTTTTGGTGTAGTGATCGTTCTGTCTCTCCAGCCCACTCACTGATTCATTCAACAGCTGTAGTTGTAACAGCCACTGGATTCACACTAATCCATTCACCCACTGCACTCCAACCCAGCCGTGCATCGTAGTGAGATTGATTCAGCTCAGTCCTTCCATCCAGCCATCCATTCACTCAGCAATCACACACTGGGTGATCTCTCTGCTGGGCACATGCCAGGTGCCCAGGATGCGGTGATGGATCTGACGCTTCTTTTTGTCCTTGAGAAACGTTTGTCTGTTTGAGGCAGCAGGAACGAGGCAGATTAGTACACCCTGAGTGTGCATGCCGCTACCACCTGCTGTTTGAAATGGCTGTTAGTTTACCTGCCTAGGAGCCGTCTTTACACACAAGAACAGGAGCTTCACGAGGGCCGGGTCTGTTCCTTGAGGTACCAGTGCCTGGAACGGAGCCTGGTAAGGAGGGGGAGCCACCTGAACGCCTCCCCCAGAGTCTGCCCAGGCACGAGGCTCACTGTCCCCCGGCCTTGGGCTCCTCTGGGGAAGCACCTCTGTGTCATGACGTGAACTCCTGCCCCTCGGTGGCCTGACGAGGTTCCCCGGGGACGGGATCTCAGCCTGGCTTCCTGCAGTGTGTGGGGCGGAGGCTGCGGATGGGGCCCGGCCCCGGAGCACCGGCTGTAATTAAGAGCTTTCTCCAGCCCAGGCTCAGCCGTGGCCGCAGAACAGCCTTTATATAGCTGATCGTGTGGCCGCGAGTGAGCCCGCGGGATGCCAGCAGCGGCTGCGAGAAGCCTCCGCCTGCTTCTATTTTAGGGACACCCTCTGGTGGTCCTCTCCTCTCCCCAGGGGCGGGGGCGTGTTCCTGGATCCTGTGCTTCAGCCCAGGATGCGAGCGTGGACTAGGGCACAGAAGGAGCCCCTTGTGCCTCTCTGGTTCATGACGCACCGTCTCCCTCCGTCTGTCTGTGTTGTGTGTCCGTGCTCAGCCCCGGTGCTATCCCCTGAGCTGCGTCCTGGGTGTGATACCCCATGACAGAGAGACAGACAGAGGCTGCTTTTGTGTGAGAAGGGGATGAATTTCATTGTTCTCCCTGGAAAAACGTTGGCATCTCCACCCCAGCCATGTGTTTGGTTAGTCTGTGACTCCATGCGTGTCCCCAGCCCCTCCGAGGAGCCCCTCTCAGCTTCCTGCGTTGGCTCACACCTCCTCACAGACCGGCTGTTGTGCTGGCTCGTGAGATTGGCCCCGGGGCTGCGACTCACTGAGAGGCTCGCTCTTGCTTTTGACCGTGGCTGTCACAGACCACTTCACCCTCAGATGAGGGAACCATCAGGGGCGCTTGAGGACTTTTCTGTGCTGTTTTCCTGTCTGCAGCATAGAACATTTTGATTAAATAATGCA